TCCACTCCGCGAGCGCTGCTTTGATGGCAGCTGGTGCAATCGCCCTGGGGGCGCCGATGCTGAATACTGTGGGGTCCGGGACGCGGTCCCATGTGGCGAGCTTCTGAACATCGAAGGGGACGGCAGCCTCCGCCATTGCCAGTGTCTGTTCCATTGCGCTGATCTGCTGCCGCATCTTGGCCTGATCTGCTTCCACTTTGTCAGCTCTGGCCTGGAGCTCATGGATGCCTTTGTCATGTACTTCGAGGTGAGCGGCGTTTTGTTTGCTGACTGCCAAGAATTCTGCCACCTGTGCGCTGAAGGCTTGCTGCTGCTTTGCAATGAGGGAATTCGCCGTCGCCATGAGTTGTTCCGTCGCCGATGCAATCTGTTCTTTACCCAGTGTCGCCAGCCTTTGCTCAAGACTAGCCAGATCACCATGAGCAGGAGGGGGGTCATCTTCAGCGCGTGGGGTAGGAAGTCCACCGACAGGCGTGCCTGCTGCAGGTAGTTCACCGTCAGGAAATGTAGGCATGAGCTCCATGTCGCGTAGCACTTGTTGCGCAGCTCGCGGTGAAAGTGGGTAGTGCTGCGGCTCATGAGTTCGAGCAGGTCCCCCACTAGCTCCAGCACATCGCATAGAACCCGCGGCCGCTTGCCAAGGGTCTCGTTCAGCAACCGTGTCCTTGCGTGCTGCCGAAGGTCCAGATCTCCGAGCGACGCGTGCACCTGAACCGTTCTCTCTATCTTCCCGATCGTCCCTGCGAGGTATTCGGTCCTGTTCCCGATCCTTGTCGTCAGCCCCGCGGTCGTCTCCCCGATGTTCGCGGCGGTCTCGGCGTCGACGATGGCGGCGCTCAGCACTGTTGTCGGGGCCGCTGCGACTCTTGGAGTCACTGTTATCCCGTCGTCGATCACGGGTAGCTTGATGACGTCGGCGAGGTCCACGGGACGAGGAAGTACTGGAACTGGATTCTCCCATGTCTTCAGCTGCGAGGGAACTGCTGCCAGTCTGCTGCCACTGAGCGGGTCCAATTTTATGCCAGCGAGCCGTGAGGTCGAGGGTACCACCTGCCGCACGTACAGGAGCGGGGCGAGTGAGCACGCCACCGTCTGCTGCTGCACCACAAGAAAGAGCACGGCGTGCCCGATGCGCCGCAGCGCTGAATATGGAATGCCCGCGGGCGCGGCCGCGCGGGACTTAGATATGGAGGGGCGAGGGCTGGCGCAGGGCCCGTGCAGTGGCGCCGAGAGCTGATCGAAGCACTGTGGGAGCCTACCCCGCGAAGGCAATGAAATGGACACCATTTTGGCCTTGAGCCAAAATGGCTACGGAGGAGGAGGGGGATGAGGAGGAAGAGGAGGAGGAAGAGGAGGAGGAAGAGGAGGAGGAGGAGGAGGAGGAGGGCTGGAGGAGGCGACCGGCGCAGGCGACGAGGACGCCCGGCGGCGGCGGCGAGAGGGCGCGCGCCTCGCAGGCCGCCCGCGGGCACCGGCGGGGGGCCGGGCGAGGCAGCCCTTGCGGCGGCGGCGGCGGGGGAGCGCGTCGGGGTCGGCGCGGGGGCTCGTCGTCGTCGTCGTCGTCGTCGTCGCCAGTGGGGGGAGGAGGGCCCGCGGAGGAGGCCCGCCCCTGCAGTTCTCGCCGCCCTCGCTCGCCGCCGAGAGGTCGTCGTCGGTGCTGTCCTCGCGGTGGCGGCGGTCTGCGCCGGAGCTCTCCGCACGTCTAGGGCTGACCTGGGCATCGTTCGCGCACATGTGTTCCCGAACCGCTTGCTGGCCGTTCCTGTAGAACGTCTGTCTCTGCTTCCGCACTGTCGGGCGGCCGTGGGCAAAACCCTTGGGGGCCTTCTCGTTCACGAACATGTGTGTCTGAACTGTTGACGAGCAGTTTGCGAGCATCCGAACACGAACATGTCTACTCACCCTTCCGAGCACTTCATAGGGCACGCCTAGCCGCTCATTGTCAACAAAACAATGGAAACATGTGTTTTTCCTTGCATCAGGGGGGGCCCTCACAGGGAGCCTGGATGAAAAGCCCGTGCCGGCGGAAATGGTCTCAACCCTCTGGGCTTCTTCAGGGGGTCCACGTTGTCGTGGTGGCGATGTGTTTGTTTCTCAGGTCTTGTATTTTTGCTCGATTTCCTGGGTCGCCCTTGGTCCCTCTCGGGGCCATCTGGAGAAATCGTTCGAGGCGTGCGATGCCAGTCCGCAACCGTGTGAAACACTGCCGAAAGAAAAGTCGGGGACCAGCAGCCCATGCGGTAGAAAAAAAACGTTCAAAGCAGATTAGTGCGGTTTGACGATTTGTGGTGTGTGAGGCCTCTCTTGGACTGTTCAGGGGAAGAAGATAAAGACGAGGATACTGAGGATGACGAGTCGCGAACAGCGAGCCACGAATAAACTCGCGCCCTCGCGGCGGGCTTTGACTGTTGGTGGCTCGCGTGCAAGTTGGGGCGCCTTGTTTGAGGCGCTCCCGGCTGGACGCAGCCCCAGAGCCTGTGCGGCCAGCTGCAGTTTCCCCAAAAAGAGGAGGATCGAGAGTCGGGCATCGAGCATCGAGCAAGAGGGACAGAAAGAAAATCCAGGACAAGCGAGGAGGAGGATCGATGAAGAAAAGGAGGAGACCGCAGACACAGCATCCTTCTGGCACGTGCAACTCCCGGCGCATCACTATATGATTTGCGATCACGCCCGGTAACAGCCCCACCCCCTTGCCCTCCCCCTGGCCACGTCACAATTCGCGCTGGCGCCGTCTGCGAATGAACCAACCATAAGCATTCCCAGGCGGCTCCTGCGCGCATCGTGACGTGAACCGCCCCCCCCATCCCCCGCACGAGTCGCGCCTGCTTTCGCCAGGGGGGCATGTTCCAATGTAGATCGGATGACGCTTGGCTCCAGAGTGCTGCCACACATGCCTGCTCTGATTCATCGAGGCACAGATCCGACCTGCAGCCTGCCGACAAACTCCTGCACTGCTACTGGGCTATGTGCACTTAGTAGGCCCAGGAAACGACAGGGTCCCAGGGCCGTCTTTTTACCGGTTCCGTCGCCGTTTTTGTTACCGGTTCCGGCTCCGGTTCCAATCCTGGAGCCGTTTTTTGCCGTTTCCGGTCGCCGTATTTTTGCCGTTTCCATTTTTAAGGGACATTATTTTGGAAACAATAAAAAACCGGCCCTGCCGTCTCCGGGGTCCACAAAGTATCTGCATGTACAGGGAAGGCTGAAGATGGGGATGTGCTTGTGTTGTATGTTTCCTCGGCAGCGCCAGCGCCCCCTGCCGTTGGCTGCCCCTCTCGCACCTTGGAGGCCGCTGACGTCGGGCGCCGACCCTCCCCGCCGCTCGAACGCCCACTCCCTGTGTTTGTTTTTGTTTTTGGCTTCGTGCGCGGCCTTTCCGCAGGATGATCCAGGATAAGGAGGAGGAGGAGGAGGAGGAGGAGGAGGAGGAGGAGGAGGAGGAGGAGGAGGAGGAGGGTGAGAGCACGGCCATATGCACCTCGGTGTCATTTTCCCCAATTCGTGCTTGCACTTTTGATGCATGCCCGAAGTGGGCACGGAAAAAATGGGCACAATGCCCGACAACAAATGCTGTCCCGAGCCAACAGCGGCCGCTGTTGGGCAGGCGGCCTTCTGTCTCGAATGGGCACAGGCCGCGGCGGCGCGGACAGCGAGTCCTGTTCAAAATGAGCAGAAACTGCTGTTGGGCACTGTACCCATTCTTTCCGTGCCCATCTCGGGCGTCCAGATTAGTAGTCCCCGCCGGGAAAGAGTGCACACGACCGAGCGATCCCGAGGACCTGGCCGACCCCCGCACGGAGCAGCGGAGGGCGGTCGTGCGGCGCCGGCGGCAGAGACCTGGGCCGCAGCGGGCGCCGCCCCCCCCCTCCCCCAGCCAGGCCCAGCGTGGAGCAAGAGCCAGCCGAAACCGAGACGACTGGCACCGCCGCCCGGGCCTCCGCACCTCGCGAAGAGAAGCGCGCAGGGACCCGCCGACGCTGCCCGGCCTTCTGGCACGCGCCGGTCGACGCGCTGCACCTGGCGGGGGTGGGCCCGCGGATAAGATCCGACGCGGGCGGCCAGATCTCATCGAACGGCACGGATCACTCGTCTGCCCTCGTGTCCCTGCGCGTAGACCTGCCAGCAAGGTTGCCGGGTCGGCGTCCTGATGGCTTGTCGCCGCATGCTTCGTCTGAGTACTGGTGATGGTGCTGGTGCTACATCATGCTGCTCCGCGGAGGCTGCCGCACGCTGCTGGGCACTCCAGCTGCCCCAGCACGAGGCAACGTCGGACCACCTTGAAGCTCTCCTGCATGCTCCTGGGGTCGTGTCGAGCTCTTCATGGCCTCTCGTGGGGCCTCCCCAGGTCATCCTGGGATTCTGAGGGGCCTCGACGCAGGTCGCCTGGAGAAGAAGAAGAAGAAGGAACAACTGCATAAACATAAACTTTGACGCTCCGCGCGGATTTCTTGGATCTGCGCTGGACCGCGCGCCATGGGCGGCGCCGGAGGCGCCGCCGAGGGGGAGCCATGCGCGGATCCAAAAATCCGCGCGACGCGTCAAACGTTTATGTCTATAACGTTTTTTGTCATTCGAATCTTGGGGCGGTCTTGCGCAAGCTATGCTGCGCGCCGACCTGGCATGCCATCCGGGGCCTCCTTCGGGAACCTTCGGCGCTCCTTCTCCTGCGCGGGCCTCTTCGGCTCTCGTGGACGCCTCGCGGTCCCCTGCTGGGAGCTGCCTGCCGCCGAGGAGCCGGGAGATCCCTGCCTGCCTCCAGAAATTCTGCGCAAGCGCCAGTCGCATCATCCCACAGTAGTCAAATATCGCACCTCGTTGGGCAATGCAAGCACCTGCTTTCAGTGCGTGCCCTGCTCGAACGACCTGGCCACAAGTCAGTGGCCGCCCGTCAGGTCCAGGTCGAATGTACTCGAGCGCACCTTGCCGAAGATGACCTGCGTATGGTGGAGACACCCAGCCTTCTCGCACGCTGCGATTTCAGAGTTGCGGCCGATGATGTCGTCTCAAATTTGTCGACTCAAACTTCTCATCCCCCACTCTCGCTGACCAGCAACATAATTAACCTGCTGCCAGTTGACACCAATCTCGCTCGCGCTGGCCCGAGCGTCGTCGCTGATGAGATTTCGGCTCCGTCTTCGCTCCTGGCCATCCCTCTGAAGGCTGGTGCGGTTAGCTGCCATTCCCACACGCGATGACCCCAGGACTTTAGTTTGGCCTACTCTGCATTCATCTGCGCATCGCATGCATGATTGCATCGCTGAAACTGACGGCGTTGGGCTCGAGCTTCGCATCCCACGTCTCCTTGAGCAACCAGATCGCCCGCTGATCCTGCCCGCCTCTAGCGCAAGCCAGGATCCCAGCGTTGCGGCTGCTGGCGTCGGGCTCCAAGCTCGCCCGCCGCATCTCGCAGAGCAGCGACAGCGCCCGCTGCCATTGTCTGCCTTTCTCGCACGCGCTGATCCCGGCGCTGTAGCTGATGACGTTTGGCTCGAGCTTCGCCGCCGACATCTCGCTCAGCAGCGCCAGAGCCCGCTGCCACTGCTCGCCCTTCTCGCACGCGCTGATCCCGGCGCTGTAGCTGACTAGGGCTGACCCGTGGACTCCGTCCACGGTAAGCTGCCACGAAGTGGCATGTGATTTGCGCTCGCCTCCCACATCGCCCCGTAATGGCGGGCGGGCGGGAGACACCCCCTCGCGTCGTGAAAGAATCGAGGCGGAACATGAGAGGCCTCCCACATGTATCGGCGATGCAGCGGCGACGTCGACCGTCATGGAGCTCTCGTGGGGGCCGTCGACCGTCATGGAGCTCTCGTGGGGGCTTCCTGGGGCTCTTTTGCGAGCCTCTTGGGCCTCTCTTGGGGCCGTGTTGGGGCCACGTAGGCCGTTTGAGGGGCGTCTTGCGGCCCTCTTGGGACGTCTATGGGGCCTCTTGGGAGCCGATGGGGTCGTCTTGGGGCGATTTGGGAGGCCTCTTGGCGAGTCCTGGGCCGCTGAGGAGCACACAAGGCGGATATGCTGAAAATGTACGTTTTCCGATAGGAATACGACGTTTTTTGCCTCTTTGGCGTGCGCTCGGGGCCCTCTTGGGGCGTCTTTGGGAGCCACCTTCCGAAGGCTTGGGGCCCTCGTGGGCCGTCTCGGGACCCGCTGAGGCCGTCTTGGAGCGCTCTAGGGCTGACCCGTGGACTACGTCCACTTGCGGGGTGGAGGGAGTACTGCTGGAAGGCGCACCTGATGACGTTGGGCTCCTTGTTCGCCTGGCCAACGACGCTTGTCATGAGGACCCTCTCGAAACGCTCTCGGAGGCTTGATGGCCGCCGCTTGTTGTGCTGAGTGCTGCCTGCTGCTACTCGCTGCTGTTTGCTTTGTCGTTCTTCTGCTGCCGCCTGCGGTTTGACTGGTGTGGGCTGCTGCTTGCTACGGCTTGGTGCTGCTGCCAGCTTTTTGCCTGGTGCTGGATGTTGCTGCATGCTGCATGATGCTGAATGACGCTTGCGTTGTCAACGCGTGCTGCTGATGCTGCACGGCTCTTTAGTGTCTGCGAAATGCCTGTCGCCTCTCGTCCGCTCCCACCCTCCTGGAGGCAATTCTGAAACCACTTAGGGCCTCGTGGGGGCCGTTTCGGAGCCACTTGGGGTCTTCTGGGCCTCCCGGGGAGGCTCTTAGGGCCCTCTTGGGCCGTCTTGGGTGCCTCTTGGGCCGTCTTGGGGCCAGCTGAGGCCGGCTTGGGCGCCTCTTGGGCTGTCCTGGGCCGTCTCGGGCCGCTCTTGGGGCCGTCTTGGGTGCCTCTTGAGCCGTCTTGGGCGCCTCCTGGGCCGTGCTGGGGCCGTCTTGGGGAGTCGTGGGGCCGTCTCGGGGCCCTCTTGGCCCGTCTTCGGGCTCTCTTGGGGCCCTCTTCGGCCGTCTTGGAGCTGTCTGGGGAACCTCTGGGACCGTCTTGGAGCGTCGGGAAGCCGAAAAGGCGAGGAGGCCGAAAACATCGAAAAACAAAATGGAAATCATCGATTTTTGCCACTCGGGACCCTCTCTTGGGGCATCTTGGAGACCTCCGGAACCGTCTTGGGCCAATCTTGAGCGTCTTGGGCTCATTTTTGGGCGTGCCGGGGCCCTCTGGGGCCATCTTGAAGGTCTCTTGAGGCCTTCCTTGGCGCGTCTTGGAGCGTCTCGGAGCGCGCCGGGGCCTGCTGGGGCCCGTCTTGGGGCCCTCTTGGCCCGTCTTGGGGCTCTCTTGGGGCCCTCTTCGGCTGTCTTGGAGCGGTCTTGGGGACCTCTTGGACCGTCTTGGAGCGTCGGGAAGCCGAAAAGGCGAGAAGGCCGAAAACACAGAAAAACACAATGGAAATCATAGATTTGTGCCACTCGGGGCCCTGTTGGGAGGCCTCTTGGGAAGCCTCTTGGGGCGTCTTGGAGACCTCTGGAGCCGTCTTGGGCCAATCTTGAACGTCTTGGGCTCATTTTTGGGCGTGCCGGGGCCCTCTGGGGCCATCTTGAAGGTCTCTTGGGGCCTTCCTTGGCTCGTCTTGGAGCGTCTCGGAGCGCGCCGGGGCCTGCTGGGGCCCGTCTTGGGGCCCTCTTGGCCCGTCTTGGGCTCTCCTGGGGGCCTCTTCGGCTGTCTTGGAGCGGTCTTGGGGACCTCTGGGGCCGTCTTGGAGCCTCGGGAAGCCGAAAAGGCGAGAAGGCCAAAAACATGGAAAAACACAATGGAAATCCACGATTTCTGCCACTCGGGACCCTCGTAGGAGGCCTCTTGGGAGGCTTCTTGGGCCGTCTTGGAGGTCTCTGGAGCCGTCTTGGGCCAATCTCGAGCGTCTAAGCCCATCTTTGGGCGTGCCGGGGCCCTCCGGGGCCGTCTTGGTGGCCTCTCTGGGCCCTTTTGGCGTATCTTGGGGCCTCCCGAGGCGGCCCGGGGCGGCCCGGGGCCAGCCTGGGGCCGTAAAGGGACGATTTTGTGCACTTGAGTGCCTGACTTTCTCGCACGCGCTTCCACCCGCCATGTAGGAGAGACTAGGGCTGACCCGTGGACTACGTCCACTTGCCAGATGAACGGGTGCGGCCGCCAGGCGATCAGGAAAGATGGCGTCATGTTCGCGTCTCGGGGGCGGTTTTGGGGGTGCACTGCGGCCTCTCAAGGGTCTCTTGGGACCTGGTCTGGGCCTCCGGGAGGGCCTTCGGGAGCGTTTGCAGGGCCTCTTGGGGGCCAGCTGGCGGTTTCTGGGATCATCCTGGAGCGGCAGGCGCGAAAGGTCCGTTCGAGGTCCCCATCGGTGGGCCCTCTTGGGGCCATCTTGGTTCTGCCTTGGGGACCTCTTGGGCCGTCGTGGGGCCCTCTTTGGCTGCTTGGGCGTTCCCTCGAGGGCCTCGTGGGCCATTTTGGCGCGACCAGGGGAGCCCTGGGGCGGGCTTGGGGCGTGGTGGCTCCGACGAGGCTAGAAATTCAGACCCGACCCTTTTGCCAAGGAGGGGAGAGCATAACAGACGCGTAGTCGCCTGATGTTCTGGGCGTCTTGCGCAGCCCCAGAACTCTCTGAGGGACCTTCCCTCGGAAGCCTTCTGTGGGAGCCCCGGGGCAGGCTTGGGGCGCGGAGGCTGCGAGGAGGCGAGACATCCAGACAGGAGCCTTTGCAAAGGAGGGGAGAAAATAAGAGGCGCAAGTCAAGTCAAGTCACCCCGCTCGCACGAGGGCGGGCCCATATAGGGCGCGAGGGAAAAAATCAAATGCCAGTCTCTATTCAGGCCTGGTGCGCAAAGGAAGCATCGCGCCTGCTCACGTCGACGTCCAGAAGTCCAGGAATAAGAGGCGCATGGGCGCCTTATTTTCCCGGGTGGCCGGCGCGGTCTTACGAGCTCTCTGAGAGACCTTCCCTCGAGATCTCTTGGAGGCGGTTCTGGATGTGCCTTGCGGCCTCTCGAGGGTCTCTGGGGGCCTGCTTTGGGCCTCTTGGGACGCCTGTTGTGGCGTCTGGGGGGTCTCTTGGGGGCCAGCTGGCGGTTCCTGAGATCATCCTGGAGGGGACGGCGCGAAATGTCAGTTAGAGTTGCCCCTCGTTGGATCCTCTTGGGGTCGTCCTGGGTTGTCTTGGGGGCCTCTTTGGCCTTCTCGGGGCCCTCTAGGGCTGTCTGGGAGCTCTCTGAGGGGCCTCTTGGGTCATCTTGGCGCGATCTGGAGTGCCCTGGGGCCAGCTCGGAGCGTCGAGACTCCGAAAAGGTGAGAACGTTGAAAACCTTCAAGCATCCAAGGGAACTCCATAATTTTCGCCTCTCGGGGCCTTTCTTGGGGGCCTCTTCGAGCCCCCTTGGGCCGTCTGTAGGGCCCTTCTTGGGCGTCTTTGGGGCATCCTGGGGGCTAGCTGGTGGCTTCTGAGATCATCCTGGAGCGGAAGGCGCCAAACTGTTACCTCGAGCTTGCCCTCGTGGGGCCCTCTTGGGGCCGCCTGGGGCCGTTTTGGGGTCCTCGTGACGACTGTCTGAGCGCTCTCGTGGAAGCCTCTTCGGCAATCTTGGAGAGATCTTGGGGGCCCTGAGGTCGGCTTGGAGCGTGAAGACTCCGAGAAGGCGAGGACGCTGAAACACTTCAAAACCCAAGGGGCAGGAATGATTTTGGCCTCTCGGAGCCCTTCTTGGAAGCCTCATGGAGCCCTCTCGGATCTTCTGCCGGCGCTGTGGGGCCGTTCGAAACCAATCTTCGCGACCTATTGGACCGTCTTCTGGGGGCCTCTCGGGCAATCTTGGACCGTCTGGGGGCCATCCTGAAGCCTCCCGGGGCCGGTGCTGGGTCACTGGATTCCCCGCCCTTCTGGCGCGCGCGACCCCCGGCGTTGTGGTCTAAACTAGAGCTGGCCCGTGGACGAATTGCTGTCCACGCCTGCCACTCCGAGGCCGCGGGAGGCCTGCCGGTGCGGGGAGCACCAGGGCCCCGGAAGCATGGAGCGAGGATCAATGGAGGAACGAGGGGGGATGAGCAAGGAGCTAACACGGAGGATTGACAAGCAACGGCCGAGGGAGCGAGGCGGAAGGGGAGGGGAGGTGGGAGGAGAGGGAGTCAAAGAGCGACGGACACATTACCCCCCCCCGATGTCGTTCACGCGCGCGTGATTGCACACGTGGTTTCCTCTTATCTTGTTTGCTCTCTCTTCTCGCACACGCTGGCCCCAACGCTGTAGCCGATGCGTGCGGACCCGTGGCCTTCCAGCCACGAGATCTGCCCGAGTGGGTCAGCACGGATATGTTGCCAGATGGCTGTCATGATGACGTCGGGACCGAGCTTCGCATCTGCTGTTGATGCCTGCGGCTGCAGTGTGTGAGTGTGTGTGTGTGTGTGTTCTGCCAGTTGCATCCACTTGTTTGCTGTTGCTGTGCGTTGGCGGTAGTGCTGCTTGCTGCGCGTTCCTGCGTTGGCGTGGCGTTGTCGGTTGTTCGTTGGCGGTTGATCCACAGCGTGCTGTTATTGTTCCCTCTTTCTGGTTGCGGCTTGAAGGTGCCGTTTCTCAATGCCCCTGATGATTTGTAGACGCCACCAACTGCTTTAGAGTGAATCGATAGGGGGAGGGGCGAGGAGCAAGGGTTCAGGTTCGAGGACGGAGGTGGGAGCAGCGTGGAACGATCAGCGAGGAGCAAGGGGTGAGGCGAGGAGAAACAAATCACGGGACTAAGAGAGACCGATAGAGAGAGAGAGAGAGAGAAACAAGGAGAGGTATACCTATAATGTTTGTTTTTTTTTCACACGTGTGAACCTGTAGAAAGTAAACGAAGAAATAGAGAGAGAGAGAGAGCAAGAAAGCGGGCAAGGGAGAAATAGAGCGAGTGCTGGCAAGGTGCGCGCGCACGCACTTCCCCCACTCAACAGGATTGTGGGGGTGGGTGGGATGCTCGTGCGCGCGCTCGCGATGCTCGTGTCCCCATCCCCCACACCTGCCCCTTCCGCCTCCGCACCGCCCTCTTGAAAAGGGGAGCTGCGCTGTGCAAGTAAGGGTGCCAGTGTCTTGCTCCGCGACAAAGGCGTTGAGGAGTAGGAGGAGGTGGGGGAGGAGGAGGGGGAGAAGGAGGAGGAGGAGGAGGAGGAGGAGGAGGAGGGGGAGGAGGAGGAGTGGAGGAGGAGGAGGAGGAGGGGGAGGAGGAGGAGAGGAGGAGGAGGAGGAGGAGGAGGAGAAGGAGGAGGAGGAGGAGGAGGAGGCAACCAGCGCGACTAGAAATATGCCGCGCACGTCGCATGCGGGGGTCGCGCTCCGCGCATCGGCCGCTGCGCGCCCTCCGCACCGCTGCGCGCAGAGGGGTGGGGGGTCTCGCTCCGCGACTGGGGCGCTGCGCATCGCTGTGCGACGGCTGGCTGTGCGTGGAGAGCGCGTCGTGCGCGGTGGTCGAGATCCACGCATGGGTCGCTACGCTGAAGGGGCCCTGGGACACACAGATAAACAGACACAAATAACAGGATTCGCCATCTTTTCTCATATATTTTATGGGTTTCTGTCTTCCCACCCACTTCCCATAGTTTCCCATATTTTCTGGGGAATCGACTATTAATTGTGTCTGCGTGTTTTCTCCCCTCCTGATACGCGACCTCCGCATGGGAGAGGTGGGGGGTGTCAGCCCGAAGAACTACTTTCCCGTTTCGCGGGGTCCGCCGGGCCGCGCCGGAGTTCCTCGAGCGCCCAATCCTGATCAGGCTCTCTTGTGGTTGATCCTCATTTTTCAAGGATCCACGCGTCTCCTCTGGCGGTGTCGCAGCTGGGTGACTTCTGCGTGCGCCCCGGTACGCGGCCGCCGCGCGGGGTGGTGGATGCGGGGGGGTCTACACAAAACGATGGAAGGGCTTCCTCAGTTTCCCTCAAGCCGCATGAAGATCCCTCGGGCGCCCATGAACCATCGTGTTTCCTCATGTTACTGATTATTCAGGGTTCCACGCGGTTCCTCTGGCGGCACCGCAACTGCGTCGCGTCTGCTAGCGTCCCGCTATGCGAGAGCCGCGCTGGGTGGTGGGGGAGTCTGCATGGGAAGAAATGTGTTCCCTGGGGCTGCTCCTGTGGCCAAGGGCTCCCTGGATATTCCTACGGCTCACTTTAGATTCTGAGGGCATCTCCGTGGGATCTGGGATCGCAGCTAGCCTCGAGAACGCGGTTGCAATGGATTTCGCACATGGATCGTGGCCTCGGGCTTTGCCAGGCGCCCCCAGTCTGTTCGTCGCAGCGCGGCAGAGGCGATCCGCGCGCGCGCTCGAGTGAACGGGCTCGGGCAAACCATTTCTCCAGCGGCAAGAGGGTAGGAGGGGGGCGGAGGGCGGGCGCAGAGCCCGGGAGGAAGAGTGAAGGCACTCGCTGCGCGAAAGTCCTCCACGGGAGTGGCCGGTGCGGTCAGCCCGTGCTGAGCAGGCTGGCGGAAATCGCGGAGCGGCATCGCAGCCACATCCAGGGGCTGAGGCAGGTGCTGCATGCGCCGACGGCGTAGCTCGAGTAGTGCTACGGCTGCTGGCGTCGGGCTTCAAATTCGCCTGCCGAATCTCGCTGAGCAGCGACAGCGCCCGCTGCCATTGTCTGCCTTTCTCGCACGCGCTGATCCCGGCGCTGTAGCTGATGACGTTGGGTTCCAGCTTCGCCGCCCACATTTCGCTCAGCAGCGCCAGAGACCACTGCCACTGCTCGCCCTTCTCGCACGCGCTGATACCAGCGCTGCAGCTGACTAGGGCTGACCCGTGGACGACTGTGCACAAATGCCAGTGGTCAGAATGCGCTTGCTGGCGCTGCTCATTGCTTCAGGGTGCGCTTTGTGCTGTCGCTGGATGATACGAAGGCGGCGCTAGCAGTATCAGCGGCAGCCGGCTGGACTGCATGGGAAGTGGCAACATCAGCAGCTCCAGCAACAGCAGCAGGGCGACTCCAATCGCAACGGCAGCTTCCCTGGCAGAAACAGCACGAGCTCCAGTGGCAACGCCAGCAGTTTCCGCAGCTCCGGCAGCAACGGCACCAGCCCCTCCCCGCAGTCGTGCTTGGCCCGTCCTCGCCCCCATGCTGGTATGGTCTCCCGTGTGGTCTCCCGTATCGTATCTGGCGTGGTCTCCCGCACGGGCCACCGTGTGGTCTCCAGTACGGTCCCTCCGTGTGGTCCCTCCGTGTGGTCTCCCGTGCGGACTCCCGTGCGGCCTCCTGCATGATCTCCCGACTGGTCTCCCGCATGGCCTCCAAGATGGTCTCCCGCATGGTCTGCTGCACTGGTCGCGGGGCCGTCTGCAGGTCCACCGCGTGTGTGTGGGGGGGGCCGCCTTTGAGGCGCGTCGGGTCACTCCGAGGCCGTGGGAGGCCTGCCGGTGCGGGGAGTACCAGGGAGCGGGAAGCATGAAGCGAAAATCAATGGAGGAATGATGGGGGATGAGCAAGGAGCTAATGGGGAAGATTGACAAGCAACGGCCGAGGGAGCGGGGGAGGCGGGAAGAGAGGGAGTCAAAGAGCAACGAACACATTACCCCCTCCCCCCAATGTCGTTCACGCGCGCGTGATTGCACACGTGGTTTCTTCTTATGTTGCTTGCTCTCTCTTCTCGCACACGCTGGCCCCAACGCTGTAGCCGATGAGTGCGGACCCGTGGCCTTCCAGCCACGAGATCTGCCCGAGTGGATCAGCACGGGTATGGTACCAGATGGCTGTCATGATGACGTCGGGACCGAGCTTCGCCTCTGCTGTTGATGCCTGCGGCTGCAGTGTGTGTGTGTGTGTGTGTGTCCTACCTGCTGCATCCACTTGTTTGCTGTTGCGGTGCGTTGGCGGTGGTGCTGCTTGCTGCGGGCAGGGTCTGCTGTTGCTGCCTGTTTCTAAAGTCCTAAAACTGCTGTTTCTCTATGCCCGTGCTGACTTGCAGGTGCAAGCAACCAGCTGCTCGCGGGTGGATCGATCAGCGAAGATCAATGGGTGAGGCGAGGAGACAAGACCACGTGACAAGGAAAGACATAGAGAGAGAGAGAAAGAGAGAGAGAGAGGAGTACGACCTCCCTTCGGGTGATAAGGAGGTTCGGGGGGGGAGGAACCAACGCCTCACTCAATCGGTCTCACTATCGATCTCACTATCGGTCTCGCTCGATCGATCTCACCATCGATCTCACTCGATCTATTTCATTCGATCGTTATCACAATCGATCTATAGATCTGACAATCGATCTCACTAGCGATCTCACTATCGATCTCACAATCGATCTCACATTCGGTCCCACTATCGATCTCACTACCGATCTCACTGTCAACGTCATCATCATCAGCATCATCATCAACAGCATCGTCATCAACGCCATCAACAACATATCATCATCATCATCATCGAGACACCATCATCATTACCACCTCATCACCATCAACATCAACATCATCATCACCATCACAATCAAGACATCATCATCTTCACCATCATCACCATCAACATCATCATCACCGGGACACCACCATCATCATCGGAACATCACCACCATCAGCATCATCATCATCATCTCATCATCATGCACATCATCATCAACATCATCATCATCATCGGGACACCATCATCATCATCATCATCATCATCATCATCATCATCATCAGCAACAGCATCAACATCATCATCATCATCACCATCGGGACACCATTGCCATCGTCACCATCATCATCATCGGGATACCATCATCATCATCAACATCAGCATCATCATCACCATCACCGGGATCATCTCATCATCATCCTCATCATCAACATCATCATCATCGGGAAACCATCATCGTCATCATCACCATCAACACCATCATCATCGGGCTACCATCATCATCATCAACAGCAGCATCATGGACATCATCATCATCATAGGGGCACCATCATCATCAGCATCGTAATCATCTTTGTCATTATCATAATCATCTCATATCATCATGACACCATCATCAACACCACCATCACCATCACAATCATCATCAACATTATCAACATCATCATCATCATCATCCTCATCATCATCGCCGGGACACCATCATCACCACCACCATCACCATCATCATCATCCTCAACAGCATCGACATCATCATCATCATCATCATCATCATCATCATCATCATCATCATCATCATCATCATCATCATCATCATCATCATCATCTGCATCATCATCATCATTCGCATCATCATCATCATCGTCGGGACAACGACACCGGCGGGACACCGCGGGACACCGGCCCCCGGAGAGGAAACATTTGGTCCGGCCGCGCCTCAGACGGAGGCGGGACACCGGCGGGACACCGCGGGCCACCGGCCCCTGGAAAGGAAATGCAAATTACACTGTGGGGTAAAATCTTGAGCCATGTTCGTGAAGCCCGCGATCCCATCGTATTGCTTTTGACAACCACGGCGGGGGTGTCAGCATACCCCCTGCTTTGCGCAGGGGTTACAACCCCCAAAATGAAATATGCACCTCGCGGCTAAATCTGGATCATGCGCGGCCTTCCCGCGATCACTGCCAAGTGGTTTTTGGCAGGGACGGCGGGCGTGGTGGCGCGTGGTCTGCTGCGCGCAGACCCAGCAAACACAATTCTGGCCATCGGTTTTCGACAAAGAGGGTGGGTGCCGACATGTTTCCCGATGAATACTATCACGTGCGCAGGCGCACCAGACGCACTCTGCACGTACCCCGAACGCGGCGCATTTGGCACGGCTGGAGTGCGCGGCGCACCTGGCGCACTCGGAGCACGTGGCGCATCTGGCGCACTAGGCGTGCCTGGCACGCTCGGGCCCCAGGGGTGCCTGGCCCGCGTGGCGCCCCTGGCACGCGTGGTGCACTTCGCCCAAACGTCGCGCACCTGGGGCCGGCTTTGGTTCCCAGTATTGGGGATGGACAGACCTCCATTTAGTAAAGCGTGGTTTAGTGAAAACGACCTGAGGCCCAAACCTGGCGGCCGCGAGCCTGGAAAATAACGGCCGCGGCGCCCTCTCAAAAACCGAATACGGACAATTCACGAATCGACGTGTCACTGCTAGGTGTTCTGTCCACCCCCGACAGTAGCTGTCCATCCAAAAACGTTCTGACCGCTGAACATGCTCAGGCTCGGGTGTTCATTGTGTAGGGACGGCGGGTGGGAGTGGGCTGGACGGCTTGCGGGCGGGTGGGTGTCTTGACCCCTTCCCCTACCTCCTCCCCTGGACCTCGGGGGGGGGCCGGTTGCGATCGGTCAGGGTGTCCAAAACGGGTTCGGCGAGGAAGCCAACACCATTGGTTTTACAATGGTTTTGGCCTCATTATGGCCTTTGGGGGGGCAGCGCTAATTGCCACCCCCTCCTTCTTTGATCGATCTCCTCCACGATGGCCCCAAGAGGCGCCCAGGAGGCCCCAAGAGGCCCCAGGATGGCCCCAGAATGGCTCCAAAGTGGCCCAAAGGGGCCCCCAGGAGGCCCCCAAGAGCACCCCAAGCGGCCCCAAGAGGCCCCCCCGAGGCACCCAAGACGCCCAAGAGCCCCCCAGGACCGCCGAGAGACCCCCAGGACGTCCCAAGAGGCCTCCAAGAAACGCCCAAGAGATACCCCAAGAAGCTCCGAGAGGCATCCAAGAGACCTCTAGCCAGCCCTGTTGCTTGCCATTATCGTCCTGCTCCTTCTTTTTCCTCGTATTGTGTTTCTCCTTTTCCTCCTCCCCCCTCCTCATCCTCCTATTTTCTTTCTCCCCCTCCCTCCTTCGCACGGCTCGGCCGTCCACATTTTTCCTCCCGCACTTCCCTGATCACGTCAACTGGCCTGGGCATCGTTTCTGGATGGGTTGGTGGGGATACTTGCTTGATCGCGACCGCGGCGAGGCAGAGTCGGGCGGCGTCCAGAATATTGCACACAAGCAACGACCTAAATTAGCGCAGCGGCAAGGGAAGGCGAAGAGCAAAGAACAATAACGAGCAGGAGAGACGGACAGCAGGCGAACCTCACTGCCGCTCAGAGGAGCGCCAGCACCGGGAGGAACTTCTGGTGGGGATACTGTTTGTCGCAACCGAGCGGGCCGCGCGAGGTCCTTGGTCCGAGCGGGCCGCGCGAGGTCCTAAATTACCCAGCACAGACAGGCCTACCACCGCAACTCAGGCCGAGACCAGGAAGGGGCCGAGGAGGGAGGCCAGAGGGCTGCAAGCGGCCAAGGGGCTGCAAACGTGCACCGGGCTGCAAACGCGCTGCTGACTGCCAGGGGCTGCTGACTGCCAGGGGCTGCAGACTGCCGGGAAAGAATTGAACTGCAGAGAAGTGGACAACCGCTACAAGCTGGCGGGGATACTTATTGATTGGCGGCTCCAAGAACAGATCCAAGAAGCGGGACGGACTCGGCTGGGGCACAGGGCGAGATTATTAGCTGCTGGGGCGCATAGGCCGCGGCAGCGGGTGCACGTGCCAGGGACAAAATGACCCTCATTAAGACGCTGGCGGCCCGAAATCGGGGAACGCAGGCACCAAACAGAAAACGGACGGAAGGAGCAGTCGCACAAGTGGCGCCAAGCTCTGAAGCTGGCTGGGATACGCGAAACGTCTATAATTCTCGGTGGCTGCCGACGTCCCCGCCGCCCACCCGCGACCCACCCTCGACCCGCCTGCGACCCAACCGCGACGCACCCACATCGGCGTAACGATACAAATCTCCGCCTGCGGCGGGCTCGTTGAACAATGAATGATGGCTAGGCGCCTGCGGCGGGCTTCTTCAGAGCCTCGCGGGCGGTCGACGTCCTCGCCGCCCCCTCACTCTTATCCGCAACTGCGAGGTGCTACTCTGGGATCTTCTGACCTGGGTCAATCCAGACCCGGGTCAGTCAAGCCTTGCAGAATCCTGCAAGATCCTGCGAGATCCTGCACCCAAATCCGGGTCAATGCGAAGGATCCTGCAGGATCCTGCACCCAAACCCGGGTCAGTGCGACCCTGCCCCTGCAGGATCCTGCAAGATCCGGCGCTCTGGCTGACCACCGTTTGCACTGACCCCCGTCTCGAGGCTCCCGAGCTACGGCATATGCCCAGGTCGCGGGTTCGCGATCGGACAGCCGCTTCTGCAACTCAAACTCGCAGTCCGCGCGGAGCGGCCGTGCTGGGTCGTAGCGCTGTATGGCGACGTCCAGGGCGCATGATCTCCGTCTGCGGAGCTCCCCGCGGACCCCAGCGGTGCCGTCGTCCAAGGGCTCGAGTAGGGCTCGCCTCGCTGCTCTGTCTGGAAAGCTATCAGGAGTCACTTGCCTTTGTCCTGCACGATCCTAGGGGGGGTGGCCTAGGTATATTCTATAACTGGCGTTACCCTGGGGTGGAAAAAAATCTCACACGGCGGAGACCCCGACGACGACTCGAGTCGTAGTGGCCCTCGTCATTCGGTTCGTCCAATCTGTCGCCATCGTCGCCGTCGTCGTCGTCGTCGGCGGAGTCGTCGTCGTCGGAGTTGAGTTTGTCGGAGTCGTGTTCGGAGTTGGGGTCGCCTTTCTTTGAGGTGAGGGTCAGAGCCGTCGACGGCGGGGTGATGATCCTAGTCGTCGTCGCCGTCGGAAACGCTTGAATTATTATCGGGGTCACGTCGCCGTCACAGTCGGAATCGGAATCGTCGGAATTGCCGTCGTAGTCGTCGTCGGAGCCGTCGCCGGCGTCGTCGTCGTCGTCATCGGCGGCGTCGTCGGCGTCGTCGTCGGAGGTGTTGGCGTCGTCGTCGGACTCGTCTGCGTCGCCAACAGCGAAGTCGCCATCGTGGTCGGAATCGCAATCGTCGTCGGAATCGTCATCGGAATCGTCGTCGTGGCCAAAATCAGAATCATAATCTTTCAAGCCGTCATGGCAATCGCCAATGTCGTCAGACTCGGAGTTATCGTCGGAATCGTCGCCGTCGTCGTCGTCGGAATCGGAGTCTTCGGCGGCGTCCTCGGAGTCGCTGTCGGAGCTTTTCGTCGTCGCCGTTCTCGGAGTCGTCGGCCATAATGGGGACGCGCGCATGCGGGTCCACGCCCATTTTGGCACAGCCTTAACGCGAATCGTGCCACATATCGAGCCCAATGGTGATGTCTGCATGCGGGCGCATGCCATCTCGGTCGTCGTCGACGCGGAGGGTTCCAGAGACTTTCCCCTCATGCTGATCAACGACATAGCAAATCCTTGCTTATCATGATACTTGTTGGCTTCATGACTGATCTCCATGCCATCATGGCACACCTTGGCTCCATCAGGGGAGAACCTCACCAAAACACAACACACGATGCTGACTCGATGACCCATGTGATTCGTTTCGGTCGGCACGCATGGGGGCGTCGATTATTTTTGTGACTGCGAGCGAGGACCCAACGAGGGCCGCATCCTTGGTGCCGAGTGCTCGTGGGGCCAGGAGCCGAACAGCGCGGACGGAGCTCGGGCCCCGAGGCCCGAACCGGCGAGGCGTCCGTCCTCCGGACGCCCAGCCCTCAGAGGTCCACCACTGCTGCCTGCCGAGGCTCCCTCCGAGGTGCCCCCTCGGAGCCGCTCTGGGCCTCCGCGGGCCGTCCTGGAGCCTCCCCGGGGGGCGAGAGACTGCCTCTCTCGTGGAGCGCCTCGGAACCCTCTCGGGGCCCTCCTAGAGGCCGTCGTGGAGCAGCCCCCGGGGCGCCGCGGGCGGGCCGGGGCCTGCCCGGGCCGCTGCGGAGCCGCGCCCCGGGCACTTGAAGAGAGGAAGTTTCGTCAGGCTCCAGCGTCGCCTCCCGCATCTCCCTGAGCAGCACCAGAGCCCGGAGCCACTGCTCGCCCTTCTCGCACGCGCTCACCCCAGCGCTGTAGCTGACGACGTTGGGCTCCACCTTCTCCTCCAGCATCTCGCTGAGCAGCGCCAGAGCCCACTGCCACTGCCCGCCCTTCTCGCACGCACTGATCCCAGCGCTGTAGCTAACTAGGGCAGACCTGTGGACTCCGTCCACGACATCAGCTCGACGTGGCGAGGGGTCTCTGGGCAAGCGCGGCGTGCCTGTCGCCTCTCGTCCGCTCCCCCGCTCCTGGAGGGAATTCTGAAGCCACTGAAGGCTTCGTGGGGGCCGTTTCGGGGCCTCTTCGGCCTTCTTTTGGGCCTCCCGGGGGGGCTCTTAGGGTCCTCTCGGGCCGTCTTGGGTGCCTCTTGGGCCGTCTTGGGGCCGTCTGAGGCCCGCCTCGGCGCCTCTTGGGCTGTCTTGGGCCGTCTTGGGCCGCTCCTGGGGCCGTCTTGGGTGCCTCTTGGGCCGTCTTGGGCGCCTCCTGGGCCGTCCTGGGGCCGTCCTGGGGCGTCTTGGGACCGTCTTGGGGCCCTCCTGGCCCGTCTTGGGGCTCTCTTGGGGTCCTCTTCGGCCGTCTTGGAGCGGTCGGGGGGACTTCTTGGGCCGTCTTGGAGCGTCGGGAAGCCGAAGAGGCGAGGAGGCCGAAAACATCGAAAAACACAATAGAACTCGACGATTTCTGTCGCTCGGGGCCCTCTTGGGAGGCCTCTTGGGAGGCCTCTTCGGGCGTCTTGGACGCCTCTTGGGCCGTCTGGGGCGAATCTCGGGCGTCTTGGGCCCATCTTTAAGCGTGCCGGGGCTCTCCGGTGCCGTCTTGGGGGCTTCTGGGGGCCCTCTCGACATGTCCTGGAGCCTGCCTGGGCGGCCCTGGGCGGCCCGGGGCCAGCCCGGGGCGGTTTTGGTGCATTGGGGCCTGCGCCATTCTGGCACGCACTGGGCCCTGCAATGTAGTACTGACGTAATATGCCCAAGATGTCAACCCTCCTCCACCGCATTTCCCTCTGTCGGCTCTGCCCTGCCCACGTGGAAGCAGATGAGAAGCCCCGTGGGACCGCCTGAAAGCTGTGGCGGGGCCTCGGAGGGCCTCTCTTGGCCTTCCTGGGGCCGTCATGGGCCACCTCGGGCGCCTCCTGGGCGGTCTTGTGGCTGCCTGGGGCGCCTCGGGGGCTCTGTTGGAGGCCGTGTTGGGCCGTCTGGCATCGCTCTGGCATCGCCTGGCTCAAGATTGGCTCAAGCTGGGTGCCTCAAGTTGCACCTGTCACGCCCCTTCGCCGTGGCACCAGTCACGCCCCTTCGCCGCTCCTCTTGCAATCCGCTCTAGCACTCACTCACTGTTACCACGCAAATTTCCATTACTTCTGGGTGCTCGTGTCTTTCGCAACCTACGTCAAAATTCCGGCTGAAAAGCATCATATGGGTACCCCGGTAAAGAGTGCGCTCAAACAGGCGAGGACGGGGAGCAGCCCGACACAAGAGCCTCAGCCAATGTCACAATATCCTGGAGCACTGGCACTACGCCAACAACAATTCCAAGATTACATGCATGCTGCAGTGGACCAGCCCCTGACCGCTAAGGGCCTTGAGACGATCCTGAACCACCACCTGGATCCCATCAAACACGACAAACAATATATTAAAGCACATGGTCTATCACAAGAAGATCTGAAAGCCGCTGCAAACCGCTGCAAACCCGATCAAGACCGAAATCGACGACTTGACCAAACAGGTTGGCCTTTTGGAGACAACTTACTCCTCCCGGCCGGCTTCGGCAAAGTCCGCATCCAGAGCGTCCGTGGATACCGATACGCAGGCGAAACTTTCAGAACTTGAGCGTGAAATTGCTCTTCTCCGGCAGTCTGGTAAGGCGGCGACATACGGCAATTCGGACTCCGACACCATCGAGTTTGGGAACTTGGATGAGTCGGGATCGCTAGCAGAGGCAGAGGCATTCATCCAGCAAGAGCTCGACAAGCTGACGGTGCTTGCGCAGGCCGAAATCTACAGGAAGGGAGTGGCCTCCAGTGGCGTCGTGTTTGCGAACATGAGCAGTGACGCAGACACTGAGACACGACCTCGAGCACGTTGCGCAAATCCCCGATCTCCCATAATACCACAAGGATCTGGGCACAAAGGGATAAGCCAGCCACCATTCGGATCCCAATTCGATTTCTAGTTGGTCTCAAACAGCTTTTGATGCAATGGGGCTTCAGAAAAAAATCCAACGATGCGCTATCTCAATGCAGGCGGGTGGCGACGATATCCTAATAATTTGCTCCGTCCGTGGTGCGTTGCAGATCACGTGGCACAGTCCGGAATGATAGGACTTGGCAGACCTCCTCAATGACGCAGAATTCAAGAAGCTCCGCGAGTCTTGCGAGGAAGCCCTGAGCCGCGCCCCAGACAAAGGGAAATGGAGCGGGAAGAGTGCGGGGAAGTGACGGGCCCGGAGGGCGAGGACACAGTTTCACCTGATGATTTTTCAGCGCCGTCGGCATGCCCACACCAACGTTCAGCCTCTGGTGCACAAAGCCGGCACATCACAATTGCTACGTGGAATGTTACCGGGCATGACCGACGAGAAGCTTTACACGCTTTGCCAAGCAATGCGTGCTTGGAGTATTAATCATCTCTGCCTTCAGGAGACATGGACTTCGAAAACATAATGATGGAAGAATAACGGCAGCTGTGTTATTTGGTCGGGATCGGAGAATGCAGACGACGAGACCAAATCAAAGTCAGGAGTGCGATTCATCATAGCACCTCGCGTGACTTCTTGCATATGTGTTTTTTTTGGCAAAGCTCCGACCGCCTCGCGTGCTTGAGAAAATCCGAGGGGCCAAATGCAAGCACGCGCTCTTCACCGGCTACGCCCCGCACAACCTCTGACCATTGCCAGAAATATTACAATTTTATCTTGAGCTGGACAAGGTTGTAAAACGTGTATATGTGACCGGACTCAAATTTATTTGTGGAGATTTTAACGCACGGCTTGGTCAGCAACGATGTGGTGAAGATCACGCGATCGGATTGCATACGTTCGGATCCGAAACAATGGATAAAGTGGAGTGCCCGAACCGCGATTTATTCATGGAGTTCTGCACTGTACGACAGTACAGCATCAACAACACGTTTCAAGACGCTCCAGAAGAGCAACTGGTTACCTACATGGAGCCGGGCACCCAGCCCAATGACGACATCCAGTCGAACAAATTCGCCTTGCTTGATTTGCTCCTCGAGCCGAGCGCGAATGCCGACCGAGTGCTGTCTGTTGCGAGCCGGCGAGAAGTAGCACTGGCTACACGGCATTTCCTGGTACGCTGCGAGCTCGACATCAGCATAGACGTACCTCACCCACGCCGACATCCGCCGATCCGGCGTGTGAGTTTCAAGGAGTCTCAGTTACAGCCTCGAGGCTGAGCCTCAGCCTCTGGGGGGGTTGCCGGGGTGGCTCTGCCGGGGAAGGGGGGGGGGGTACGAGTTTTCCGGCGGTCGCGGGGAGCTGCTTTTACAGAAGGCTCTAATCTCGAGGATGCGCTAAAAGGGTGGCCGCGGCCGCAAAAGTCTCTGAGGACGGTCTAAGAAAGTCCCGAGACCCCGAAAGATCGCCCGAACACGCCCAAGATGGCCCCAAGACGGCCCAAGAGCCTTCCAAGACGTCTGAAGAGGCCTCCAAGAGGCCTCCCACGAGGGCTCCCAAAGGCAAAAATCGTTGATTTCCATTGTTGTTTTTCATGTTTTTGGGGTTGTCGCTTTTTTCGGCTTTCCGACGCTCCAAGACGGCCCAAGAGGCCCCGAAGACCGCTCGAAGACGGCCCAGGAGGCCCCCAGACAGTCCCAAGACGGCCCAAGAGGGCCCCAAGGCGGCCCAAGAGCCGCCCGAGACGGCCCAAGAGGTCCCACGACGGCCCCAAGAGGACCCAAAAGAGGAACGAAAAGCGGAAAAAATCTAGCCTCCCAGCCCACGAAGCCCCCAGGAGGCCCCAAGAGCTCCCAAGAGGGCCCCCAAAAGCCCCCAAGAAGCCCCCACGACGCCCTGACAGGCTCCTGTGCGAGTATCTGTGTGTGGTGCGTGTCTGCGAATGTCTGTGCATGCTAGTGTCTGGCGTGCGCCAAGTGTGTCTCTGTATGTGTCTGCCGTATGTGCATTTGGTCGTGCGCGTGCGTGAAGTATCCGCGTAATATGTGTATCCGAGCGACCCGGATCGGCGGCACTGGCCGAAGGCCACTACAATAATAGAGGAAAACAACGAAACAGTTTGCAGAGCCCTGGCACGAGACAGCAATTTGTTACGGTATTGTTAAACACTTTGCACCAAACCCAGGACGCCACAGATGTAATTGAGGACGCGTGGGAAAACATTTCGAGAGCAATGGGAGGCTGCCGCCGAGGGCTTACCAGATGAACCACCCAAGCCCATGCGACCTTGCATCAGCGACCGAACAGTGCAGCTTACCAAGGAAAGATCGCAAGCCGGGGTCGATGGGAACGCCAAGGTCGAGAAGGACGAACGCAGAGCCGTGCGGAAGGCAGCGCGGCAGGGTAAGGCGAGGTGGCTGGAGGACTCCGTGAAGACGGGGGCCTGGCAAGAGATTCGGAACATCGGGAGGCCACAATCAGCTGAGCGGGGACGGCTGCGGAACTTGCAAGGAGAGCTCGTGTGCAGTGAAGACCGGGCGGGCACTATGGCAAGGTACCTCGAGGAGATACAATGGGGCGTGCGACCAGCCACTGCAGTTGACGAGCCGGCTCTTGGAGACACGCTGCCAGTCAAGCTGACCAAGTTCACGGAGGACGAAGTCAAAGCTTGCTTGCGGAAGTTGCACGGTGGCAAAGCTCCCGGGCCGGATGACACGCCGCCAGAATATTAGAGGGCACTCGCGGACAATTCCGAAGCCCTGCAACGCATCACGGACTTCGTTCACCATTGCTGGCAAGACAGGAGCGTACCGCAGGAATGGCACAAAGCGAGGGTAACATCTTTACACATGAAATGAAGAACAGAAGACTGCGCAAACTACCAGCCAATCAGCTTGCTTGTTGTTGGATACGAAGTTTTTGCATCATTACT